CACTCCTACGTCTACCAACATCATTGCCTCCAGCACTGAGACAGATAATAGGATTGCTCCCATTACCTCTCATGATGCCATTCAGATGGCTAACAATATCCTCCATCCCAGCCCCAGGAAAGCAAACCCTCTGTCTCCTACTCCTGTCCTTCCAGCAGAATGCCCTAACCATGTACCTAACTTGGCTATCCCCAACAACAATATTCCTACCTTCCTTGGTGTCGTTCGTCGTGACATTCCCTGTAGTCAACTCACATTCGCCGGGTAGCACGGAGAAATCATTAGATGTTTCCACAACAGATTCAACAGCAGTCTCTTTCTTCTTCATCATTTCTACCTTTCCATTCGCCTTCTTGATCATCAACTTCATTCCATGCTGTCCAGCCACTGACCAGTTTCCCTTCTTGACCTGAGGATTCAAAACAGGAGGACTAATACGAATCTTCTTGTTTTCCTCGGTCAGTCGCCGAATCTTCATCTTCGCCATCCTCAATTCTTCCTTAAGCTGTTGGTAAAGTTGCTCGATGGAGGGCATCTTGGTTCAGTCCATAGAGAGCACACTCGACATGTCCTCACTGAGCTAAGTACAGGTCAGTTTTGTCCCAGGATGCAATCCACACCAGTCGACTAACACCCAGGTACCCATTTTAAACTGGTGGGTGGACAGGGACAGGAACAGCAGGTGTCTTATGGAAACGCGTCTCTAATGTTTTCCATCCATACCGGAGGAGATTCGAACCCCAGACGTCAGTGTGTGTGAGCTGAGTGCTCTCATTAGGACTATATATTTGTAATCAACCGAACAAAGCTATACATGTGGTGTTGCGTCTTTATTATTTAATCTAACGCGTGTGTACACTTAACTAGCTGTACTTAACTAATTGTGCTTGCAAGGGTCAATTCATACCTCCTGGTTCCGCCTTTTCACTGCTATCGACCGACTTCATTGACTCATCTTCTCGGGAGACCAATCATACCTAGTCTTGAAGGTGTGTATTTTTGTGTGTTTTTATTGTTATATGTATGTGTATACTCATCTATATGTGGTTGTAGAGGTCGATTCATAGCTCCCGACATGTGTGCACGAGCATCATAACGATTTCAGCGTAAAGGAGGTTTTGTGGGCGAGGGGCTTGAACTTCCAGCAAGCATGTGTGTGTGATAGAGAGGCGTGAATGGAGACGAATGGTTTTTGGGACCTGATGAGCTGTTGGAGTGTGAGGAGGTAATGTTTTTTGAAGGGATTCAGGGAAAACAGTTAGCAAGACTTGAGTCCTGGAAATGGGAAGCACAATGCATGCAATTTAAAGGAGGAGTTTGGGATATTGTCATATCTGAGCACCTCTACAAAGACAGTGATTATGTATGAGTGATAGTGAAAGTGTTGAATGATGATGAAAGTATTTTTTTTCTTTCTTTTTGGGTCACCCTGCCTTGGGAGTATTATTATTATTATAATCGAGGGGAAGCGCTAAACCCATAGGATTATACAGCGCCTGGGGAGGGATGTGGAAGGCATTCAGGCTTAATTCGGGAAACTGGAGCACAGATCCAATTCCCTAAATCAAGAGCCCCTCACCAACATCAAGGAACCTTCCCTGAGGGGTGCCTTGGGAGGAAACAGCTGCAGCGTTAAAAAAAAATGTACATTTTCTTTCAACAAAATGGACATATCCCACCAAAGCAGGGTGGCTCAAAAAGACAAACAAAAGTTTCTTTTTTAATTTTAGTAATGCACGCAGGAGAAGGGGTTACTAGCCCTGGCTCTGGTGGCCTGGTGGTTAACGCTCTCGCTTCACACGGCGAGGGCCTGGGTTCGATTCCCAGCCAGAGTAGAAACATTGGACGTGTTTCTTTCCACCTGTTGTCTATGTTCCCCATCAGTAAAATGGGTACCTGGGTGTTAGTCGACTGGTGTGGGTCGCATCCTGGGACACTGACCTAAGGAGGCCTGGTCACAGACCGGGCCGCGGGGGCGTTGACCCCCAGAACTCTCTCCAGATAAACTCCAGATAAACTCCAGCCCCCTTGTTCCGAGCATTTTAGCCGCCTCTTACGACACGCAGGGCTTATGGAAGAAGAATTCTGTTCCATTTCCCCATGGAGATAAGAGGAAATAAACCAGAACAACAAGAACTAGTAAGAAAATTGAAGAAAACACAGAGGGGTGTGTATATACATGCTTGTACATGCAAGTGTAGTGTGACCTAAGTGTAAGTGTAAGTAGCAAGATGTCTCTGAAATCTTGCATGTTTATGAGAGAGAAAAAAACACCAGCAATCCTACCATCAGTCACTTGGCAGGATGGTAGTACCTCCCTGGGTGCTTGCTGTCCACCAACCTACTACCTAGGTTGGCAGACAGCAACCGCCCAGGGAGGTACTACCGTCCTGCCAAGTATGTGTAAAACGAAAGCCTGTAATTGTTTTACATGATGGTAGGATTGCTAGTGTCTTTTTTTCTGTCTCATGAACATGCAAGATTTCAGGTACGTCTTGCTACTTCTACTTACACTTGGGTCACACTACACATACATGTACAAGCATATATATACACACATCCCTCTGAGTTTTCTGCTATTTTCTTTCTAGTTCTTGTTCTTGTTTATTTCCTCTTATCTCCATGGGGAAGTGGAACAGAATTCTTCCTCCGTAAGCCATGCGTGTTGTAAGAGGCGACTAAAATGCCGGGAGCAAGGGGCTAACAACCCTTTCTCGTGTATAAATTACTAAATTTGAAAAGAGAAACTTTTGTTTTTCTTTTTGGGCCACCCTGCCTCGGTGGGATACAGCCGGTTTGTTGAAAGAAAGAACTTATTTATTTATTTTACAGTAAGCTTATTGAATCTCATTTAACTGAATAGCATTGCCTGGTTAGTATAGTCAAAATCTGGGCATAATAACTGTATATTTAACACCAGTTCATAACTGTCACGTGCGTAAAAAGTAAAGTCTGAGAAATTTTTCCATACACAGCAGCTGACACCAGGGCAGTGTGAGAACCTCTTGTATCAGGCAGAGAACCTCCAAAACAAAGATAAACACAATGTTATCTGTATTCAAGGAGGGAGTGCTAAACCCATAGGGGTCATACAGCCCTTGCAGGAAATGGAAGGAAATCAGGTTCAGTTGGGTGGCCAGGTTCATTTCCTTGATCAAGAGCACCTTTCTGGCATCAAAGAACCTCCCTGGAGGGGTTTAAACCCTGGTGATGGAGTGTGATACCAGACCAGTAGAAAAAATCATTCAGGATGAACAGATAGAAAACCTGTAATAACACTGTGCATTTACCCATCCAGAGTATTAGTTTTAAGGTATACCTATGATATACTCTAGGTAGTAGGTTGGCAGACAGCAACCGCCCAGGGAGGTACTACCGTCCAGCCAAGTGAATGTAAAACGAAAGCCTGTAATTGTTTTACATGATGGTAGGATTGCTGGTGTCCTTTTTTCTGTCTCATGAACATGCAAGATTTCAGGTACGTCTTGCTACTTCTACTTAAACTTAGGTCACACTACACATACATGTACAAGCACATATAAACACACCCCTCTGGGTTTCCTTCTATTTTCTTTCTAGTTCTTATTCTTGTTTATTTCCTTTTATCTCCATGGGGAAGTGGAACAGAATTCTTCCTCCGTAAGCCATGCGTGTTGTAAGAGGCGACTAAAATGCCGGGAGCAAGGGGCTAGTAACCTCTTCTCCTGTATATATTACTAAATGTAAAAGGAGAAACTTTTGTTTTTCCTTTTGGGCCACCCCGCCTCGGTGGGATACGGCCGGTGTGTTGAAAGAAAGACCTATGATATACCTTTGAGGGCCCTGAATCTGCACTCTCTAGAAAGGCGTACAATTAGGGATGATATGATTGAGGTGTATGCATGTACAGTGGACCCCGCATAACGATTACCTCCGAATGCGACCAATTATGTAAGTGTATTTATTTAAATGCGTTTGTACGTGTATGTTTGGGGGTCTGACATGGACTAATCTACTTCACAATATTCCTTATGGGAACAAATTCGGTCAGTACTGGCACCTGAACATACTTCTGGAGTGAAAAAATATCGTTAACCGGGGGTCCACTGTATATGGAAGACAGGAATAAATAAAGGTGATGTAAATAACTTGCTGAAAATATCTAGCCTAGACAGGACTCATAGCAATGGTTTTAAGTTGGAAAAATTCAGATTCAGGAAGGATATAGGAAAGCACTGGTTTGGTAACAGAGTTGTGGATGAGTGGAACAAACTCCCGAGTACAGTTATAGAGGCTAAAATGTTGTGTAGTTTTAAATAAAGGTTAGATAAATACATGAGTGGGTGTGGGTGGGTGTGAGTTGGACCTGATTAGCTTGTGCTACTAGGTCAGCTGCGGTGTTCCTTCCTTAAGTGAATGTGACCTGACCTGACTAGGTTGGGGCATTGGCTTAAGCCAATAGGAGACTTGGACCTGCCTCACATGGGCCAGTAGGCCTGCTGCAGTGTTCCTTCTTTCTTATGTTCTTACTTTCAGAGCCTGGCCCTGTTCCAGGCTTGTCTGGTGCTTGCCTAGTCAACCTGGCTGTTTTTGGTGACCTGCCAGAAGCATTGCCTAGGAAATGGGAAACAATCAGGTTCAACCTGAGGAAGGGGTAGACAAATCCAATTCCTTAGCGCTAACATCAAAGAACTTCCCTTGAAGGGGTTGCTTATCCAAACCACCACTTATGCAATTAAATGTAAACAGTTGTAAAAACACTGGTATTATGAAGGGTGATTAATTATTTTTCTTGCAGAAAAACTCCCACCTAACTTTGTGAAATAAACATTTATATCACTGGAACATTTGTGATTTTTTGATCAGTGAAATAAGGTACAAATATATAATTGTTTGTTCCTTAGCTATTTCTTTAACAGTTGAAAGTGGATAGGTACTAACCTTTGCAAAAACTGGTCAATGCTAGCTTCTTTACACTGTCTGCTTAGCATTATTTCTTTTACCTACTAAAACTTAATTACCTGGACTGTACTTGTGGATAATTTCTGGGAGAAGTGAAAAGAACAGGTAACACCTTAGAAGACCCAGTGCAAGTAAGCCAAGAAACATGCTGGCTCTCCTTGGCAGGAAAATACTTGATAAGATAACCAGCTGGTAATGTTTGATGAGTAATTTGCGTCTTATCACCCTTTTCTTTCAAGTCTCCGCTTATGCTTCACTAACTATTCTTCCACCTCCACTTAATTTAATCCTTCTTCCTTCCCCATGTAACTGATGCTTAGTGAAGGGTTTTTTTTTTGTTGGTGGGAAGGACCAACACATCTTCGAAGAGTATTTATTGTAGAATTATTTATTGTAGAGTTAATCAACAATTCAGTGATAAATCCATCACTATCATTAGAAATCACACCCTGGAACAGGATATAACAATATACAGCCACTGTATGTAATAAATACAACACATTAGCAAAATATGAGAAAAAAAGTAAAAATTAAGTATAAAAAACATGATACAGTATACAAGGTGCTGTCAAAAAGTTCCCAGACTTAAATTTTCACCATGTGATGGCATAGATCATGCTGTACACTATACTCCTTTGTAAAGTATCATGGTGAGTTTCAGCGTGGTTGGTCATTCTGTTGATATAGACATTTTTTGTCATGTCAGTGCATTGTTTTTTTGTTAAAGAATGGAATCTTTCGTGGGAATTTGTTTCAAGCTCAGTAAAATGGTGAGTGAAACTCAAAATCCTTCAACAAGCATTTGGCAACAAAGCAGTGGGTCGGACACTGTCTTGAATGTTTTTTCTTGATTCAAGGTAAAATTAACATCTGTTGTTGATGAATACTCTGGTCATCCATGAATGTCAAAAACAGACATTAACATTGAAAAAGCAAGACTGGCTATTCACTATGATCGTCATCAGAGTATCCAGGACATTGCAAGTGTTGACTAGAGAGCAGAAAGACAATGTTTTTTTGGCTAAAAACATGGCAGTCATTTACTCTACAACAGATACCTTATGTTCAAATTATAATTCTTCAATCTCATCCTCTTTTCATTTACTATAAGATTTTTACCTCATCAGCAGTCTTTCACCAAGGTAGGGAGACCCAAAAAACACACATATTCACCATCATTCAGTTGTCGTCTTGCCAGAGGTGTGCTGACACCATGTTTCATGGATCTTTTAATGATGTTTAAAGAGAAGCACAAAGTTTTCTAAACACTTTAAATTAGTATAACTAATTACAGTGGAACCCCTGTAGCTGAGGGTCCAATTTCTGTGATTTCAGTTATCCGTTGTTAATCATGGCCTGAAAATAAGCCTTAATTTTGCTTAATAATGGTCACAAAGCATAATAGTAGTAATGACAGCAGTTCTTCAAAGCCTAAGAGAAGCCATGAAGTGCTTCCCATCAGTGAAAAAGTGATAATTCTCAACTTATTGCGGTAATTTATCAATTAAACTTTATCATAGGGTTGGAGAGAGGGGGTAAAGGAGGTTTTGTGGGTAAGGGGCTTGGATTTCCAGCAAGCGTGCGTGAGCGTGTTAGATAGGAGTGAATGGAGACGAATGGTACTTGGGACCTGACGATCTGTTGGAGTGTGAGCAGGGTAATATTTAGTGAAGGGATTCAGGGAAACCGGTTATTTTCATATAGTCGGACTTGAGTCCTGGAAATGGGAAGTACAATGCCTGCACTTTAAAGGAGGGGTTTGGGATATTGGCAGTTTGGAGGGATATGTTGTGTGTCTTTATATGTGTATGCTTCTAGACTGTTGTATTCTGAGCACCTCTGCAAAAACAGTGATAATGTGCGAGTGTGGTGAAAGTGTTGAATGATGATGAAAGTATTTTCTTTTTGGGGATTTTCTTTCTTTTTTGGGTCACCCTGCCTCGGTGGGAGACGGCCGACTTGTTGAAAAAAAAAAAAAAATGTATGTAAATGGAAAATGACATACATAGGGTTTGCTACTATCCAGTGAGGATGAGGGGGAGGACCACTGTTATTATTAATCAGTATACAGACCACTGCCATTCTGTAAAAAAACAAACAAACTGACATTGTGGTAAGGTTTATTGAACTACACAGGGTGTGCCTTAATTGATATACAAATGCTATACCACCTATTTATACAGTAAATAATAAATAGCCTTTGATATGAAAAAAGGACATTGACAAATATTTGGTATCTAATTTCTAAGAGATTTCAATTTATTCAATATATACATATTCATATATTTTTTAAAATATCCTTTATTTTACAAAAAACACATTGAAATACAGTGGACCCCCGCTTAACGATCACCTCCAAATGCGACCAATTATGTAAGTGTATTTATGTAAGTGCGTTTGTACGTGTATGTTTGGGGGTCTGAAATGGACTAATCTACTTCACAATATTCCTTATGGGAAAAAATTCAGTCAGTACTGGCACCTGAACATACTACTGGAATGAAAAAAGTTTGTTAACCAGGGGTCCACTGTATTTGAATCTTTGATACAATGCAGATTAAAAAGAGTGATGTTCATTTGTAGGTTACAGTACAGAACAATACATAATCACAAAATTTTGTAGAAAAAAGTTAATATACTCTCACTGCTTATATAAATTTCACATATATAAAGAGGCAAGGACACAATTTTGTAAAACTGGAATTTAAATGGGACATATATGGATACTAGACACCTCAACATCAAATAATTACTGTACTCCACGTAACCTAGGCACTTAAATATACTGTACACTAATTCAATGAGAATCTTACAATCTCAACAAAGTACTATACTGGATCCCAAAAATTTTTATGTTACTTATTTAATTTTGTGCTTTCTTGGGACATAAGGTTACCAAAGAGCTTTAAAAGTTAATCTCTTCCATTTATCAAAATAAATAGCAAACTCAGTATGCTTAATATGCAATAACTGTCTTCTGTATTAATACTCAAAACAAAAATTTGCAAAAAATGAAAAGAAACTGATCCCTTGCTTTAAATTTTTAATCATCCACCATTTATATACGTACTGAATAACAATAAAGATGTTCAATTTATTTTCAAGTGAAAACTAGGAAACTAGCACAAGCTAGTGCATGAATTTTGTATATTAACATACTGTACATGCAAATCATTATTTTTAGTTTTCAATAAACAAAACAATCACAGCATGAAAGTTTCTGATGTTGCTGTTATGGCATTATAGATGTGTGTGTTGCTAATGGGAACATACTGGCCAGTAATTATCTTTATAATTTCATGGGCTGCACACCCACCAATATATGCAGCAACTGAGTGCACCTCTGCTGCTCCGTACCGACACATCTCGTGGATAAAATCGTCCTTGACAATGGGACCACAGCCCCAGTCTGCTAATAACCTATTCACACAAACCTGAGAAAAGAAGATTACTCACTGTTCCATAAACATAAATATGACAAAATACTTGACACTGATTTTATATATTTATTTCAATTATTTTGAAACTTTGACAATTTTCTTCTTCTTATTCTTTTTAGTAATCTTTACAGGAAAAGGGGTTACTAGCCCATTGTTCCCGGCATTTTAGTTGACTTTTACAACACGCATGGCTTACGGAGGAAAGATTCTTATTCCACTTCCCCATGGATATAAAAGGAAAATTAATAAGACCAAGAACTATTAAGATAAAATCAAAGAAAACTCAGATGAGTGTGTATAAATAAATGTGTACATGTATGTGTAGTGTGACCTAAGTGTAAGTAGAAGTAGCAAGACATGCCTGTAATCTTGCATATTTATGAGACAGACAAAAGACATCAGCAATCCTACCATCATGTAAAACAATCACAGGCTTCGTTTTACACTCACTTGGCAGGACGGTAGTACCTCCCTGGGTGGTTGCTGTCTACCAACCTACTACCTATGGGGAATCAAATTCAAAATGGGAATTGACACAGTTACTTTTTGCTGATGATACTGTGCTTATGGGAGATTCTAAAGAAAAATTGCAAAGGTTAGTGGATGAGTTTGGGAATGTGTGTAAAGGTAGAAAGTTGAAAGTGAACATAGAAAAGAGTAAGGTGATGAGGGTGTCAAATGATTTAGATAAAGAAAAATTGGATATCAAATTGGGGAGGAGGAGTATGGAAGAAGTGAATGTTTTCAGATACTTGGGAGTTGACGTGTCGGCGGATGGATTTATGAAGGATGAGGTTAATCATAGAATTGATGAGGGAAAAAAGGTGATGGTGCGTTGAGGTATATGTGGAGTCAAAAAACGTTATCTATGGAGGCAAAGAAGGGAATGTATGAAGTATAGTAGTACCAACACTCTTATATGGGTGTGAAGCTTGGGTGGTAAATGCAGCAGCGAGGAGACGGTTGGAGGCAGTGGAGATGTCCTGTTTAAGGGCAATGTGTGGTGTAAATATTATGCAGAAAATTCGGAGTGTGGAAATTAGGAGAAGGTGTGGAGTTAATAAAAGTATTAGTCAGAGGGCAGAAGAGGGGTTGTTGAGGTGGTTTGGTCATTTGGAGAGAATGGATCAAAGTAGAATGACATGGAAAGCATATAAATCTATAGGGGAAGGAAGGAGGGGTAGGGGTCGTCCTCGAAAGGGTTGGAGAGAGGGGTAAAGGAGGTTTTGTGGGTAAGGGGCTTGGACTTCCAGCAAGCGTGCGTGAGCGTGTTAGATAGGAGTGAATGGAGACGAATGGTACTTGGACCTGACGATCTGTTGGAGTGTGAGCAGGGTAATATTTAGTGAAGGGATTCAGGGAAACCGGTTATTTTCATATAGTCGGACTTGAGTCCTGGAAATGAGAAGTACAATGCCTGCACTTTAAAGGAGGGGTTTGGGATATTGGCAGTTTGGAGGAATATGTTGTGTATCTTTATATGTGTATGCTTCTAGACTGTTGTATTCTGAGCACCTCTGCAAAAACAGTGATAATGTGCGAGTGTGGTGAAAGTGTTGAATGATGATGAAAGTATTTTCTTTTTGGGGATTTTCTTTCTTTTTTGGGTCACCCTGCCTCGGTGGGAGACGGCCGACTTGTTTGAAAAAAAAAAAAAAAAAAAAAAATTTTGAAACTTCTTTGGATTTTGCTTAATTTATTTTTAATATCCTCCAATCAAAAACTGTGGTCTCTAAACGCTTGAAAATTCAGACAGCTGAACCTCAGTATCTCAATTAATAAGTATACTGCATTTTTAATCATACCTACTCACTTTCTCCAAATGCCCCACATAGTATAAAGTATTCATAGTTATACATGTGTTGCAATAGTGTAGTGTAAATCCTTGCCAAAATTATAAAGTACATCTTTAACTGACCTTTAATCGTACAATGTCAGTTTCCACCTGATCCTGAAAAAAGCCAGGATAAGCTCGAAACTCAGAGTGAAACTGATCAACAGCTCTGAGCATCACATACCACACCAGCTCACTCTCAGGGTTTTCCAAGTGTGCACCTAAGGCAAAAATTACTTTTACCGTCAAATTTCTACTTGGAGTAACCTATAAATGAATGTACCAAGAAATATTAGTTTAAACATTATGTAACTAAATACGGTATGCAACATATAAACAATAATTTAAGTCTCCTTTTGAATAAATTTATTGGTACACTATAATTATTCAATCACCAATACCCATTATCAAATACAAGAAATCTGTTACATCATATTCTTATAAGGAATTTTAGTTTTGTTTACTCCTCTGTATAAAAACCAGTTTGTTCTATCACTTACTCAATTTAGTTTCAAAGATAAAGGATAAATAATTAGCATTAAAAAGTTATGTTAATTTTGGGAAATTCACATTAACGGAATTAACGTACTAACCTATTTCACCAAGGTTGATGCTACCCTTGTATTCTTCAGTGATAGACTTGCCCTTAACAACTCTCAAGGCATGCGAATTCTTGCAAAAAGTTCTGACATCATTGTCTAATGATGGCACAATTTTTCTGGGACCCAACTGCTGACTAAGTTCCTGCACTCTTCTCAATACCCAGTCAGCATCTTGCGCTGCTTGTTCACGATACCTGTAAGAAGAATAAAAAATAAAGTTTTTTTTTTTTTTTTTTTCAACAAGTCGGCCGTCTCCCACCGAGGCAGGGTGACCCAAAAAAAGAAAGAAAATCCCCAAAAAGAAAATACTTTCATCATCATTCAACACTTTCACCACACTCGCACATTATCACTGTTTTTGCAGAGGTGCTCAGAATACAACAGTCTAGAAGCATACACACATAAAGATACACAACATATCCCTCCAAACTGCCAATATCCCAAACCCCTCCTTTAAAGTGCAGGCATTGTCCCTAAATTAAGACTTGGAATAGGACTATTTCAGTTAGTACCTTAAGAACACACCTTAAGTCTTGCAAGACACTTTGTGTGTGGCGTCTAGAAATGACAAAGTGAAAATGGATAAGATTATAGATTTGTCTCTAATAAACAGAATCAATCACTTGAAAATGGATAAGATTATAGATTTGTCTCTAATAAACAGAATCAATCACTAACTCAAAGAAAATATGAACACTTTGAAATTATGCATTCCTCATAAATTTCTACCACCTTGTTAAAGACATAAGTTCCTTATTTTAGCACTGATTTTATTATCAAATAAAAATATAGTTATAGGCATCTTACAAAAAGAATTTTCAAGTACATGCCCTCTAGAACTTAACCCTTGTAGCTCTAGTATGTTGTTTATATAAAAAGATGAGAATACAATGTTTATAACTAGACATGCAAGGATCAAACTATGGAAATTTAAAACTGATTATGAATAAAGTGAAATTTAGAGACAATGTGGACTGGTCTAATGTGCTTATGATCAAAAACTAAAATTTGGGCACTAAGAGAATTGCTGGGAAAGGAAATTATGGATGCTACATTGATTAACACTTAAAAGGTCATCTGGGCATTCAAATGTAGGAAAATATAAAAAAATATATGGAAAATGGAATTTAGGTGCCAATTGCCAATCATTTCCAAAATACATCAGTAAAAGATTGATACACATCCGTATACTGTGTAATATAGTACTGAATATACCCTAGTTATTTTTTATATCTGCAGCTTCCAAACACAGCATAAAGTTTAATACCTGATACAGTACATCTAATAGACAATATAATATTAGGTATTTGACCATATGCCTAATTTACAGGGGTAACAAAGAAATTTTTTTTTTTTTTTTCAACAAGTCGGCCATCTCCCACCGAGGCAGGGTGACCCAAAAAAGAAAGAAAATCCCCGAAAAGAAAATACTTTCATCATCATTCAACACTTTCACCACACTCACACATTATCACTGTTTTTGCAGAGGTGCTCAGAATACAACAGTTTAGAAGCATATACATATAAAGATACACAACATATCCCTCCAAACTGCCAATATCCCAAACCCCTCCTTTAAAGTGCAGGCATTGTACTTCCCATTTCCAGGACTCAAGTCCGACTATATGAAAATAACCGGTTTCCCTGAATCCCTTCACTAAATAATACCCTGCTCACACTCCAACAGATCGTCAGGTCCCAAGTACCATTTGTCTCCATTCACTCCTATCTAACACTCACGCATGCTTGCTGGAAGTCCAAGCCCCTCGCCCACAAAACCTCCTTTACCCCCTCTTTCCAACCCTTTCGAGGACAACCCCTACCCCGCCTTCCTTCCCCTATAGATTTATATGCTTTCCATGTCATTCTACTTTGATCCATTCTCTCTATTATAAAGTTGAAATGAAACTATTGTTTAGATTGTACTACTATTTTGTATTTCTTCTTTCTTTCTTTCTTTCTTTCTTTCAATGCACCAGCTGCATCCCACCAAAGCAGGGTGACCCAAAAAGAAGCATATAAGTTTCTCTTTTTAACTTTAGTAATGTATACAGAAAGGGTTACTAGTCACTTGCTCCCAGCATTTTAGTCGCTTCTTACAACACGCATGGCTTACGGAGGAAGTATTTTGTATTCAAGGTATAAAAAGTTATGCGGTAGCACTGTTTAGACAAGGAAAATATTGGCAATTTTTCTTTTTTGAATGATTTAATAAGAGATACCAGAGCACCCTTTAAGCAAGCCCTTCGAATACTTTTTTGGCGATTAAGATGCTTGCAACAGAAAAATGCACACACAAAAGACATGAAAGATTAAGCATTTATGTCATCAATTGCCTAAATGGATGGGAACTGCATATTTTGAATAACTGCCATGATGGTATTGTATCTATGAATAAATATTGCTTACAAATTCTGAATTTTTATGTATTTCTCAGAATCTGCTGTCATATCGGGTATGGTTCCTCTAACTGGTAAAGCTCCACGTCCTTCTGAAGTAACAAACTCATGAAGAGCTCTAGCCATAATCCAGAAAGGCTTAGTTGTAGGGCTAGGAGTGATGGAAGCTGCCTTATTCAAGATGGATTGTACTCCAGATGGTATGGAAGTAGGTAATAAAGAAGTGTTTACAGCCTTTACTGCTTCTTCAAAATTTTCTTCAGGCTCATTATTTTCTTTTTCTCTCATACCTAGAATCAGAAAAACAAAATATATAAACAATTAAAAATGTCCTTAACTTACAAAAAGTTAAATACAAATCTGTCATTAAACTAAAGCTTCCAATTAAGTAGAGTACTCTATATAATTACATGAAACACAGAGCCAGTCTAAAAATTTTTATAAAATGTACAAAACAATATTTTCAAACAACTGATAATCCTTCCTGCTAAAATAGTCCATGACATGCATAAACCTAAAATTATGATTACCCTAAATAGGACTATAATAAAATTAATCTGTTAACTTTAGGTGGATTAACTAATTACTATAACCTCTTGTCAATTTACAGTACTTTTCAATGGAGGTAGATGACAGCTTATCTCTAAACATTTTGTGACCAGGAACATTAGTAAGGTATTATCATTAAACTGAAAACACCTATAAATACCAGGTTTAGGCCTGAAAATTTGTGTACATACCTTGTTCCCTCTGGGAATAATAAACATGAAGCCATCACTAAAGGGGTCACAGTGAGAAAGTAGAAAGAAGGAAACGAAGATTTTTAACACACTGGTTGTCTCCCAATGAGGTAGGGTGGTCCCCCCCCCCCCAAAAAAAAAAAAACTTTCACCATCATTTGCTCTATCACTCTTGCCAGAGGTGCACCCATAAGTAGCACCTTGGGAAGAGGAGGTAATCAAGTTTGATCCAGGGAAGGAAATGGCAGTTTCAATTCCTTGAATCAAGAGCCCTTCACTAGCATTACAGCACCACCCTTGAAGGAAAAATTATAAGATTTACAATTGGATGAAATAGAACAGAAAAACATTATTTACTGTTAAGTCCACAAAGTGAGTAAAAATGGAGAAAGCCATCAAATAGTACTGCAGAATGTATAACCAAAGAAATAAGAAGTCAATTTGGAAGGAAAAATCCCTTAGCATCTCACACATAAGTGCTTTGTCAGGCTGTTAAGATCAACTCATTTACAACTGGAATAAATGCCATTTTTCCAAGGACAAAATAGAGTAGCTAATTTCTGCATGCCAGTCTGAAGCAAGAGCACTACAGTGCCATCAAAACAGCCAGAGTATAGTGAGAAAAATTTAAGCAAAGGCAAGAAACCTCTTTAAAAACTGCTCAGGTTTAGTATTTTCTTTGTATAGGAAGTTGAAAATGAGCATAGATAAGAGTAAGGTGGTGAGGATATCAAAGGAGTTAGGTAAGGAAAAACTGGATATCAGATTGGACGGTGGGAGTATGGAAGAAATGAATGTCTTCAAATATTTGGGAATAGATGTGTTGGCAGATGGATATATGAAGAACGAGGTAAACCATAGAACTAATGAAGGGGAAAGGTGGGCGGTGCACTGAGGTATCTTTGGAGACAAAGAACATTATCCATGGATGCAAAGAAGGGAATGTATGAGAATATAGTGGTACCAACACTCTTATATGAGTGTGAAGCATGGGATGTGAATGTTGCAGAGGAGGAGGAGGCTGAAGGCAGTGGAGATGCTGTCTACGGGCATTGTGGCATAAATATTATGCAGAGAATTCATAGTGTGGAAATTAGGGAAAGGTGTAGTTACTAAAAGTATTAGTACGAGGGCTGAGGAGGGGTTGTTGAGGTGCTTTGGCCATTTAGAGGGTGGAGCAAAACAGGATGACTTGGAGGGTGTATAACTCTGTAGTGAAGAGAAGGTGGGGTAGGGGTCATCCTAGGAAAGGATGGTGGGAGGGGGTAAAGGAGGTTTTGTGTGCTGGGGGCTTGGACATACAGCAGGCATGTGTGAGCGTGTTAGACAGGAGTGGAGATTAAAGACTTTGGAACTTGACAAGCTGGAGTGCGAACAGGATAATATTTTGTGAAGGGATTCAGGGAAACTGGTTAGCCGGATTTGAGCCTTGGAGGGGGGGGAAGTACAGTGCCTGCACTCTAAAAGGAGGGGTTTGGGATATTTACTGTTTAGAATGACATCTCAACTGTCATACCTGCACGCTTCTGGCAAGCCAGTGATAATGTGAATGATGGTGAAAGTGTCTTTTTTGGGTCACCCTCCCTTGGTGGGAGACAGCAACCACCCAGGGAGGTACTACCATCCTGCCAAGTGAGTGTGAAATGAAAGCCTGTAATTGTTTTACATGATGGTAGGATTGCTGGTATCTTTTGTCTGTCTCATAAATATGCAAGATTACAGGTACGTCTTGCTACTTCTATTTACACTTAGGTCACACTACACATACATGTACATGTTTATTTATACACACTCATCTGAGTTTTCTTTGATTTTATCTTAATAGTTCTTGGTCTTATTACTTTTCCTTTTATATTCATGGGGAAATGGAATAAGAATCTTTCCTCCGTAAGCCATGCGTGTTGTAAAAGTCAACTAAAATGCCGGGAACAATGGGCTAGTAACCCCCTTTCCTGTAATAATTACTAAAAAGAATAAGAAGAAAACTGTCAAAGTGGGAAGTCTGAATGTGCATGGATGTTGTGCAAATGATAAGAATGAGATGATTGTGAATGTTATGAATGAGAAGAAGCTAGATGTCCTGGCTTTAAGTGAAACAAAGCTGAAGGGGGTGGGAGAGTTTCAGTTGAGAGGAATAAATGGGATTAGGTCAGGGGTTTCAAATAGATTCACGAAATCGTAACGACACGATTGCAAACAAACCATACCACGGGCGGGATTTGAACCCGCAGTCAGAGAGTCTCAAAACTCCAGTGGCTAACGCGACGGTCTGGAGTTTTGAGACTCTCTGACCACAGGTTCAAATCCCGCCCGTGGTATGGTTTCAAATAGAGTTTGAGCTAAAGAAGGAGTAGCAATAATGTTGAAGGATAAGTTATGGCAGGAAAAGAGGGACTATAAATGTATTAATTCAAGGATTATGTGGAGTAAAATAAAGGTTGGATGTGAAAAGTGGGTTACAGTAAACGTATATGCACCTGGAGAAGAGAGAAGTGTAGAGGAGAGAGAGAGATTTTGGGAAATGTTGAGTGAATGCATGGGGAGTTTTGAACCAAGTGTGAGAGTACAAATATATATATTTTTTTAGGTAGTAGGTTGGTAGACAGCAACCGCCCAGGGAGGTACTACCGTCCTGCCAAGAGAGTGTAAAACGAAAGCCTGTAATTGTTTTACATGATGGTAGGATTGCTGGTGTCCACTGTTCTGTCTCATGAACATGCAAGGTTTCAGGTACGTCTTGCTACTTCTACTTACACTTAGGTCACTCTACACATACATGTACAAGCACATATATACAAACACACACCTCTCTGGGTTTTCTTCTATTTTCTTACTAGTTCTTGTTCTTGTTTATTTCCTCTTATCTCCATGGGGAAGTGGAACAGAATTCTTCCTCCGTAAGCCATGCGTGTTGTAAGAGGCGACTAAAATGCCAGGAGCAAGGGGCTAGTAACCCCTCTCCTGTATGTATTACTAAATGTAAAAGGAGAAACTTTTGTTTTTCTTTTTGGGCCACCCTGCCTCGGTGGGATACGGTTGGTGTGTTGAAAGAAAAGAAAAGGAGAAACTTTCGTTTTTCCTTTTGGGCCACCCCGCATCGGTAGGATATGGCCGGTGTGTTGAAAGAAAGAAAGATATATATTTTGTTTTTTTTAACAAGTCAGCCGTCTCCCACCGAGGCAGGGTGACCCAAAAAGAAAGAAAATCCCCCAAAAGAAAATACTTTCATCATCATTCAACACTTTCACCTCACTCACACATAATCACTGTTTTTGCAGAGGTGCTCAGAATACAACAGTTTAGAAGCATATACGTATAAAGATACACAACATATCCCTCCAAACTGCCAATATCCCAAACCCCTCCTTTAAAGTGCAGGCATTGTACTTCCCATTTCCAGGACTCGAAGTCCGGCTATATAAAAATAACAGGTTTCCTTGAATCCCTTCACTAAATATTACCCTGCTCACACTCCAACAGCTTGTCAGGTCCCAAATACCATTTGTCTCCATTCACTAACTTCAAGTATGAAATGTAGATTTAAAATATGGATAGGAAGTATTAAAACAAACTTGAAAATATAAAATGAACATCCCATAGTTATACCTGTTTTACAAAGCTCAATAAATGCTTTTCTTTCTTTATAATTCTTGGGTGGTGCTCCATGCTGCTGATTCCAGAGCTGCAAATACTTATAAAGAATTACAACGTATGGTACATGAGAATGTTCTTTGTTGTCCATGGATTCAAGGTCAAGACTATCCATATACTTTTGCAATGCAGAAAAGGGTCTGTCCAACCGAAGGTCAGGCATCTCACTTTCAGGATGGCTTTCAACTACTGCATGTTCTTCAATCTGCAAAGCATTTTTGAAATAAGAGAAAATGTGTACAAGTGTCCTCTTGGTAACCAGAATTTTTCAACAAAAGTACAGTTCCTACATTTTTCCAATTAACATTAAATCATATGAACAGAATATCACTACCAATACGTTATTTCCAACAGAATAAGCGAGATGAATTTCTTATTTGCATCTTCATTGAATAATTTCTAGAATACCATTAATATAATTTAATGTGATGAAACAATGTTTATTAAGATTAGAAATGATTAAGCAAAAATTCTCCCCACTAGGGTATTTCTCATCATTACTGTTAGCATGTTTTCATAAATTATGTATAGTAGTTCAGTAGTTTATTTTTTGTTCACCGTGTTTTGTAGTTTCTATACAAATCTTTAATGATTACCAAAGGCTCCACTGAAATATATCATAAAAAAAATGCAATAGCCCAGCCAGTTCTTTCTTACCTATCACAGAATCATAATGAAGCCAAGCTGTCGGAAAGCAACACAGCTCTGGGCAGTTTATCTATTCTACAATAACATTCTAAAGTTTCACGAGTCTTGCCTATATTACAAAAAGTCACTGTTTGCCATGTTCCATTTGTCTGTCTACTGGGTTTCTTAAAATTAAATCTCAAACATTTTCCAGATTAGATAGCTTATTTCTTCTGCACATTCTTTTAAGACCTAGGGTGTTATTTTGTCTAGTCCTATTAATCTGTTTCTGTCAGTGCAAACTAGTACTATAGGTTCTTTACTTATTCTTTAGTTAACATTATCTCAGTTCAAGTTGAAAATGAACACAGAAAATGGCAAGGATTGGAAGAATATGGAGGAAGCAAGTGTACCATATTTAGAAATGTGAGTGTAACATTTGCACTCAGCAAATGGATCTACAAATTTAAACATTTAGTGCAAGTTTTTATGACTAGCAACTACAAACAGTGAAAGCTATCACATTAAAAACATTAGCCTTAGAGTTTTAAATAAAAGTATGAGTTTTGAAATATGTACAAAGAAGATAATCTTGGAAAAGAACCAAATGATGGTTGTTAATATGACAGTAGTATTCTTTTTAATATCAGCATGCCAACCACACTTTCACGTTCCTTATATCTGCTGAAAAGGAAGCAGCCAGTTTCACCAATGTATTTAATTATTATTTTTAAGGGAGAGTGCTAAACCTACTGGGTTCATACAGTGCCTGGGGAATGAGAAGAAACCAATTTTAATCCAAAAGGGAAGATCACTCAATTTCTTGAATCAAGAGCCCTTCAAGACAAACAGACAGGGAGAGAGATGATAGATGTGTTTTTGTCTTCTTTGGATTACCCTGCTGTGGTGATAAATTTCTAATGTGAATAAAAAATAGAAATATAGTAGACCCTCGAATTTCACCATCCCTTTTCTGTATGTAAAACTCTAGTTCTTCTCTATAAAATGTATTTTTTGTTAATATTTCCCATAAGAAATAATGTAAATCCAATTAATCCAGACACCCAAAAATATTAACAAAAAATACATTTTATAGAGTGAGCATTGGGGTTCTGATGGTACTCACCTCCAGCCTTCATCATTTTAATAAAAAAATAATAATTAAGGAGCAATGTGGCAGATGTTGCAAGTATATGGAATAGGTAGTAAGTTACCAAATGCTGTAAAGAGTTTTTATGAGGATAGTGAGGCTCAGGTTAGGGTGTGTAGAAGAGAGAGATACTACTACTTGGTAAAAGTAGGTCATAGACAGGGATGTGTAATGTCACCATGGTTGTTTAATATATTTATAGATGGGGGTGTAAAAGAAGTAAATGCTATGGTGCTGAGGAGAGGGGTGGGATTAAATTATGGGGAATCAAATACAAAATGGGAATTGACACAGTTACTTTTTGCTGATGATACTGTGCTTATGGGAGATTCTAAAGAAAAGTTACAAGGGTTAGTGGACAAGTTTGGGAGTGTGTGTAAAGGTAGAAAGTTGAAAGTGAACATAGAAAAGAGTAAGGTGATGAGGTTATCAAATGATTTAGATAACAGAAAAATTGGATATCAAATTGGAGAGGAGGGGTATGGGAGTTGACATGTCAGCAGATGGATTTATGAAGGATGAGGTTAACCATAGAATTGATGAAGGAAAAAAGGCGAGTGGTGCATTGAGGTATATGTGGAGACAAAAAACATTATTTACGGAGGCAAAGAAGGGAATGTATGAAAGTATAGTGGTACCAACACTCTTATACGGGTGTGACGCTTGGGTTGTAAATGCTGCAGCGAGGAGGCGGTTGGAGGCGGTGGAGATGTCCTGTCTAAGGGCAATATCTTTCTTTCTTTCAACACACCGGCCGTATCCCACCGAGGCGGGGTGGCCTAAAAGAAAAAACAAAAGTTTCTCCTTTTACATTTAGTAATATATACAGGAGAAGAGGTTACTAGCCCCTTGCTCCCGGCATTTTAGTCGCCTCTTACAACACGCATGGCTTACAGAGGAAGAATTCTGTTCCACTTCCCCATGGAGATAAGAGGAAATAAACAAGAATAAGAATTAAAGAAAATAGAAGAAAACCCAGAGGGGTGTGTATATATATGCTTGTACATGTATGTGTAGTGTGACCTAAGTGTATGTAGAAGTAGCAAGACGTACCTGAAATCTTGCATGTTCATGAGACAGAAAAAAGGACACCAGCAATCCTACCATCATGTAAAACAATTACAGGCTTTTGTTTTACACTCACTTGGCAGGATGGTAGTACCTCCCTGGGCGGTTGCTGTCTACCAACCTACTACCAGTAAAGGGCAATATGTGGTATAAATATTATGCAAAGAATTAGGAGTGTGGAAATTAGAAGGTGTGGAGTTAATAAAAGTATTAGTCAGAGGGCTGAAGAGGGGTTGTTGAGGTGGTTTGGTCATTTAGAAAGAATGGATCAAAGTAGAATGACATGGAGAGCGTATATATCTGTAGGGGAAGGAAGGTGGGGTAGGGGTTGTCCTCGAAAAGTTTGGAGGGGGTAAAGGAGGTTTTGTAGGCGAGGGGCTTGGACTTCCAGCAAGCATGCGTGAGCGTGTTAGATAGGAGTGAATGAAGATGAATGGTATTTGGGACCTGAGGAGCTGTTGAAGTGTGAGCAGGGTAATATTTAGTGAAGGGATTCAGGGAAACCGGTTATTTTTATATGGCCGGACTTGAGTACTGGAAACGGGAAGTACAATGCCTGCACTTTAAAGGAGGGGTTTGGGATATTGGCAGTTTAGAGGGATATGTTGTATATCTTTATACGTATAGTAGAAAAAAAAAACATTTTATAGAGAATAACTATAGTTTTTCATACAGAAAAGGGATGATGAAATTCGAGGGTCCAGTGTATTTGATGATCAAGATAGTATTAATTAAAATTAAAAAAGGAAAAAAGTGGCCAAGAAAAGGGGTAAGCCATAAAAACTTAATAAATTGAATTTTTACCAAAACTTTTTACACTCGCCTGCACTCTTATGTAGCCTATCATGCCATAGCTGCGAACTACCACCAATGGAACATGTGCTTCCCACAGAATTTTGGAGAGCATCAACAAAGTACTGCAGTAGTGGAGAAAATGAAGTTTAGTATTATTTAAGTGAAATAATCTTCTCACACAATATATTAATTAATTATTTGAATTTCTTCATTTATTTTTATGCAGCGTAAATGTTAGTACAGCCTCTCCTCACTTAGCAATGAACTCGTTTACGGATGACTCGGACATACAACAGGCTCTCTGATCAGTATACATACCTAAATAATGTATATTAGAGCTAATTTCCTCTATTCTGTTTATTATAATATACAGTACACTACTGTAAAAAACATTTAAAATATACTAAAAATGTTATAAATGGTCCAAAGATGACATTAGAACAATATCGCAGGTAAACCCACTACCATTATAGTATGCTCCTTGTTTAGCGACGAATTTGTTTACTGACGTGGTTTTAGGAACAGAACTCCATCGTTAAGTGAGGAGAGGCTGTATATATTACATGACTACTACTGTAAAATGAATATATGGAGTGAAAAATACATACATGTATTGATGAATACAATACTTGTTAGTGAATAATCCATACCATTCTGGTAAACAAGTGACAACAACACAAGTGAATGGAGTGAAGAAATCTGGTTGGTTGTCTAGAATCTCCTGGAGAGGTTGTTCCACAAATGTTCCATGAACATCTTGATTTAGCTCAAGAAGAAGGCGGAGTGCTACTTCTCCTCGTGGTCTTCCAATGCTGTCACTATCCACAAAAAAGCTGCCCAATGAAAGACAATTCTTTACCATTCTATATTTACCTAAACGTTTTTTGCTGTAACTTAAATATGAATTAATTTAAATCACAAAACTGATAATAATTAATTTGCAAAAATATTAATGGGGATTTGCCCAGCCAATCCCATATTGTATTGACGATAATTATTACTACACTCATGGAGGGACAGTAAGTCCACAGAGGTTATAACAGTGCCTGAGGAAATGTAATTACTCAGGTTCAATCCAAGGAAAGGAAAGCTAGGTACAATTCCTTGACTCAAGAGCTCTTCACTAGCATCAAGAAACCTACCTTGGCAGAACATTGGCAGTTAAAAAAAAAATATTGAGTTTCCCAACTTACTTGTTGCCGACATCAGTTGGTGTAACCTTTGCATCATCAACAATGGTGACAGCTCCTACTCCTGGCAGAACCAATGATTTTAATAATTCTGTTCCTGCTGCACTGGCATTAATTAGACAAACATGGCCACATTCTAATGATGACTGTCCATGATCTCCCCATAATCTGGAAATGAAATATTATTTCAAAATCAAGAAAATAATTATTTAATGTTAATGGCATGCTGCACCTGCATCTTATAATCAATATATCATATTAGTGTGTAGTAAATAACATTAGAATATAAATAATACCTTAATATGCAGATGTCTTAAACAGGTGATGAATTATACCAAAATTATTATTATAATCAAAAAGAAGTGCTAAACCACAAGGGATAATTATACCAAAAGATAGTTTGAAATGATCAAGGTTGAGAAATAAAACATGTGCAAAACCTGACTAACTTAATGAAAATGAACAAATTCACTTCCATTTCTTTTTTCCAACAGAGGTTGCACAGGTTACAAAAAAATAAGTGGAATGAACTACAAGCTTCTTGGAAACCCACCACCTTAGCAGGGAAAGGCTTTTCATACTTATTATGCACAGCATCTTGAAAAAAAAAATGTACAAAGAATGGTTTATAGTCAATACAGGAAATGTGATACTGTATAGAAAGCCCCTGGTTATGCAGAGAATTTTTGGACAGATGTGGGTAGTTGGTACCCTGGTAATGCATATGAAATCACTGACGTGTAAGAATACTTAGGCACAAGTACACAGAAGTACAATTATCATAGTATAAATTACCTACGATAATAACAAAAAAGTCAGTGACTTATTTCCATTGGTGACCTTGTTATTTCCATCTAGGATAATCCAACAAGAGTCCGAGTGTGACTTATTTACACCGAGGACCTTTATTTCCATTCTGGTCCAAGAGTTTATTCAGTTGTATTATTATTATTATAATCAAAAAGAAGCGCTAAGCCACAAGGACTATACAGTATTCAGTTGTAGTTAACAGTGAAATAAAACGGATTTTTTTCTTTTTGCCAAATAAAACCACACTATTATCCTGCAACATGACCTACACAAACACAATGACTAGTGGCAGGAGCTACAGAAATACAACCGATAATATTATTATTATAATCAAAAAGAAGCGCTAAGCCACAAGGGCTATACAGCACAACCGATAATAGGTAGCGGGAGCTACAGAAACAAGAACACTTTTAAGTGTCATGAGCAGCAGCTGAACATCAATGTAAACAAACCCTCACAAACACGGGCCAGAACTGCCTTATTCAATTCTAAAATAAGATCAATGATTTACAGTCACGAGCTAAGGTGTTGAGGGACACCATGAGACCCAGAGTTGGGGTAATTCACCTCAACTGGCGGTCGTATCTCTTAGATTTGTCACTCTGTTCACAGGACGGAGTGCCGGAGGACTCCATGTTTGAACAGCAGACTGTCCCAGGCAGCTGAGCCTCGCTACGCGCACTGTTCTCTTACTCATACTCTGTAATATAACCACAGAGGGGAGTTGAATCATAGTTTTAGGCCTTTTGTGAAAATTTGTGTGGACTGCCTCCAAGTGAGTTGCCTACCCTGGCAAACTCTGTTGACACCGAGCTCTGAGGTGGGTACCTCAGCCTCACAAGTGGCTTATAGGACAGATTTTCACAAATGATTGATGTTGCAAGAAACTCGCCTGCATGCACGTATAAAGGACTAACTTACTTGGTGTTGCAGCATATATCCTGATCTTCAACTTCCCTAAGCTTAGCCTTAGCCCCTCTGGACTTTCCCTCAGAAACCACGTGCAACCAGGAGCCTTAATTCCTGCAATATTCAGTCGTTATTAGTGACCTGCCTGCACCTCAGAAATTCCTATATCCAAGAGGGTATGTATCCCCTAGTATAACTATGCAGACACGGACACTAGCTTCCAGACTGCCTTGAGACACTGGTACTTACTGGGCATGCTCTGCCAGCTGCAACACAGGCCCACAGATAAAACTCACTCACAATCTCCCCAGACACTGGCCAGAAATCTACGAGATAAAGTGGAGGTCTTGTCTTACTGTATGGGCCTGACGGAGGAGGTCATCTACGGTACATCGAGGTGCCTCTACCAGATTTCCCCAGGTCTCAAATGTGAAGACACGTGGGGGCGCCGTCTGCTGATCACGGCACGTCTTGTCCAGTTGGTGTCTGTCTTAAGAAGGACGCTATTGTGTCTTTGAGACCCGTGCCTTGTCATTCAAGCTAGGTCTGCCAGTTCTCCCTAGCTAACTTAACCTAGTGTTTGCCTACATTATCGGCCTATCACTACCTATGTTAAGGTCTTAGGTCTACATTATTATTATCTACAGTTGCCTTAGTAAACCTAATATTAATATACTAACAGTAAAACCACCTACTCCTTCCCTGACGAGTAAATCTATAAATTAAATAAATGCCTACCAACAATCCACGCCAACTAGAGAATGCTTTGTTTTTGGTGGGGTATAAGGGCCACCCAGCTCAGCCATCCCATTACGGCTATGCTGGGACCCCTTCACACATCGTA